GTCTTTTACTCATTCTCTAATAAGAATTTTCAGAATGTACAGAAACGTCAAAGATGTGTTCATACCGGTATTTTGGACGGAAAATAGCGTTTCACTGAGCGACGAATACACGAACGGAGTTAAAATTATGTTGAAAATAGTCGAATTCGGTCCTTTCGTTTATTACGGACTTTTCATTTTGGGTTGTTTGATTATCCTCGGAGTCATACTGCTACACGTTTTCCATTATAAAATTCCAAGAGATGAAAAGAAAAGGTATGAAAAAATCATTATCGTTATTAGGTATTGCCAACTTATCGTGGCGACCAAGAAACGTCACGAACGTATGTCTCTTTTAAATCATATGAAATGTATATAAATAATTATCATTATCATCATTACCGACCGCTACGTAAGAAAACAAGTCGACGAATTGATGAACAATAGCGAACATGATACCTGAATTCGAAAAGAAAACAATAGGTAAAAAAAAATGTGACGTAGTTTCTTTTCAGCACGTGAGAGAGACAGGAGGAGAGAACGAGAGAGTGAACGGGAGAGTGAAAGAGAGAGAAAGAGAGAGTAAGAGTGTGAACGAGAGAGAGAGAGTGAGAGGGTGAACGAGAGAGTGAACGAGAGAGAGACAGGGGGAGAGAACGAGAGAGAGAGAGTGAGAGGGTGAGAGAACGGGAGAGTGCACGGGAGAGTGCAAGAGAGAGTGAGAGGGTGAGAGAACGGGAGAGAGTGAGAGTGTGAACGGGAGAGTGCAAGAGAGAGAGTGCACGTGTGAACGGGAGAGAGACAGGGAGAATGAACGAGAGAGTGCAAGAGAGAGAGAAAGAGAGAGTGAGAGGGTGAGAGAACGGGAGAGAGTGAGAGTGTGAACGGGAGAGTGCAAGAGAGAGAATGAACGAGAGAGTGCACGGGAGAGTGAAAGAGAGAGAGTGCACGGGAGAGTGACAGGGAGAATGAACGAGAGAGTGCAAGAGAGAGAATGAACGAGAGAGTGAGAGAGAGAGTGCACGGGAGAGTGAAAGAGAGAGTGAACGGGAGAGTGAGAGAGAGAGTGAAAGACAGGGGGAGAGAACGAGAGTGTGAACGGGAGAGTGAGAGAGAGAGTGCACGGGAGAGTGAGAGAGAGAGAGTGAAAGACAGGGGGAGAGAACGAGAGTGTGAACGGGAGAGTGTGAGAGAGAGAGAGACAGGGTGAGAGAACGAGAGAGTGAGTGAGAGTGAACGAGGTATCCCTCGGTGTCCCCCCAGTCTCGGTCTCCCTCCCGCTCGTGCTCTCTCTCCCTCGGTGTCCCCCCAGTCTCGGTGTCCCTCCCGCTCGCGCTCTCTCTCGCCCGGTGTTCCCCCCAGTCTCGCGCTCTCTCTCCCTCGGTGTCCCCCTCGCGCTCGCGGTCTCTCTCCCTCGGTGTCCCCCTCGCGCTCGCGGTCTCTCTCCCAGTCTCGGTCTCCCTCCCGCTCGCGGTCTCTCTCCCTCGGTGTCCCCCTCGCGCTCGCGGTCTCTCTCCCAGTCTCGGTCTCCCTCCCGCTCGCGGTCTCTCTCCCTCGGTGTCCCCCTCGCGCTCGCGGTCTCTCTCCCGGTCGCGGTCTCTCTCCCTCGGTGTCCCCCTCGCGCTCGCGGTCTCTCTCCCAGTCTCGGTCTCCCTCCCGCTCGCGGTCTCTCTCCCTCGGTGTCCCCCTCGCGCTCGCGGTCTCTCTCCCAGTCTCGGTCTCCCTCCCGCTCGCGGTCTCTCTCCCTCGGTGTCCCCCTCGCGCTCGCGGTCTCTCTCCCGGTCGCGGTCTCTCTCCCTCGGTGTCCCCCTCGCGCTCGCGGTCTC